CAACGTGTCGGAGCTGATGGACAAACTGTAAAGCAGTTAATGATTTATCGCTTGGCAGGGTTCCCAGTAAAATGCCAAGTGTATTTGTGTGCCAGTCTGAGCTGCACCGACATCAGGAGAAAACGTGCGTGACTGTTTTTGGCATTGCATGGTCTCTAGGGTCCCTCCAGCTCCAGGAGTCTGTCCCTTTAAGTTGAGTCAGAGGTTTGCTTTCTAGAATCTAGAGCATCGCTGGTTTCCTGTGGGACGGATGAGTGCTGGCCTCTGAATTGGTGTGTTTGACCATTATTGGCTTATCGCTAGGAGCACGTCTATTTGAATTATGCAACGTGTCGGAGCTGATGGACAAACTGTAAAGCAGTTAATGATTTATCGCACGGCAGGGTTCCCAGTAAAATGCCAAGTGTATTTGTGTGCCAGTCTGAGCTGCACCGACATCAGGAGAAAACGTGCGTGACTGTTTCCGCGGCCGGGTGAGTGGTGCAGAGGCCACTCCTCGGTTACGGAGAGGGTGGCTGGGAGGCCAGGCGTGTAAAATGCTCAGGACTTTCCCTTCACCACAGTCAGGGCGCCAAGTGCCATCATTAATGTTGCTTTTTAAACTAAACTGTGACCTTTACATTTTTTATTCATAATTTTGTTATTTTCTTGGTTTGAGCATTTATGCCCAAGCAACTCTGGAGGCACTGGTTTCAAGAAGCAAGTGAGCACATTTTGATTATTACAAAATGAACATTCTCTCTGCCCCCATCGTAATTCACTGACTCAGTAAAAGTGATCGGTTTAGTAGCATGTGTTCAAATTAAGGCTTTGTGTTTTCTGTAAATTGAAGGAGTTACATTTTATCAGAACTGTGGTTAAATTTTTTAAAAATTCATTTTCCACCTCCATTTATTCCCCCTATATCCTCTTGCACCCCCTCCTCCCCCACAAGTGGGTGCATTAATATGCAGCTCTAGTGACTGCGTGGGAAAGTGCTGCAGCGGGGAGAGCGCTGGCTGCTGAGGCGGCCGCAGTAGCAGGTCAGCGTTTACATTCAGCTCTGCGTCTGCCCACAGCGCGTCAGTGGTGTGTGCAGCAGACTTTCCATGTGACAGATTTGGAAACAGGTTCAGAGCGGTCTCCCGCGGGGAAGTGGGGTTTCCTCGCCTCCAGACCCGTGCTCTGCCCCGTGGGGCCCGCGCTGCTTCCAGTGGAGAGGTTGCCGGCCCTGGCAGTTCTGGAAGCTTCCTGTGGTCCCTCTGCACCTGTTTCCCGCGCAGGTGCACCTACTCATGCTCATCACACTCCCCTGAAACCATAACCACATCACAGGGGACGCTGGCGGTCGCCGGTGTGCTTGTCAGACGCATGTGAAGAGTTGCTCTTGTTGCCGTGATTTCTGCTCCTGGGGCCCCTCCCGAGTCTGCACGGAACCAGACCGCCTTGAGGGCAGTTGTGGGGATGCAGCCAGAGGAACGGGGGGCATGGTGTGAGGGACCCGCAGTCAGTGTGTGGGGGCTGGGAAGTGCCTGCTCCATGGCTCCCAGGCTTCCAGACCTGCTAGGTGGTCCGAGTACAGTTGATGGGTTTTGGCCCCGTTAGGGACATTCCAGTCCTCAGGAAGGACACCGGTTCCATGGATTACACTTGAACGGGTATCTCCCAGTCTCGGGTCTGCTGGGAGCAGCACATTTATACTACGTAGCAGTCCCTCCTTTCTGATGTGGGTCACTCTTGTTTTCTTGACACTTTTGTCTTCCTTCTCATCCTTCTAGTCGTCATAGCTGTGGAGACGGGGGTGGCGAGTGCATCCGACACCCCCCGGTTCTGTAGGCCAGGGCCTTAGCTGGTTGTAGGTTCTGACCCTGGCTGGGCGGGGGTGGCGGGGGGGCTGGGCTGTCAGCTCTGTGCTGGGGCTCGCCACTGGCTCACCCTCCCAGGAGGGCAGAGTTCCAGAGTGCAGGCTCTCGAGTCAGAGCTTATCAAACTCTTTGTTGTGATGGTGGTGGTAATCCTCACGGAGGATATTTTTCCACTTTTAGAGAGAGTGAAAGGGAGGGAGGGAGGGAGGGAGGAAGGGAGGAACATTGATGTGACAGAGACACATTGATTGGTTGCCTCCTGCATGCGCTCTGAACAGGCCTGGGAACAAACTTGCAACCCAGGCATGTGCCCTTGATTGGGAATCAAACCCATGGCCCTTCAGTGCCCAGGCTGACACCAGGGCAAAGCACTTACCAAACGCTTGCTTGCTTGCTGATATCCCATTGGCCAAAGGAGTCATATGACCAAGCCTAGAGTCAGTGGGTGAGGGGCCCATATAAGGATATGGTTACCAGGGGCGCAGTGGTGAGGGGGGAGGTCTTTAACAGGCTAGCACAGTGGGGTTAGGGAGTGGAGGGGAGGGCTTGTTTTGCCAGCTGTAAATGACAGCTGGTGTTTGTAGTTTACTCTCTTAGGCATCGGGACTCAGTTTGATGAGCATTTATTTGGTGCTGGATGCTGGGAATTCAAAGGATAAGGCAATCTCCGGCTATACTCCTAATCTCACAAGTGAAGCAGAAAGCGTCCTGCTAAGACTCATTTGGGCTTTTAGGTAACACGGGTGGGAGCTGCTCACGCGGGTCTGTGCCGGGGCCCGCGGTGCTGCTAGAAAGCGCCGCTGGGTCCTTGGGAAGAAATGGGCTGCCATGATGACTTGGCGTTGGCCCTGCGAGCTGTGGTGACAACAGAATCACCAAGGAAACCAAAAGATGCAGCTTCTGAAAGTCCCTGGAGGCATTTGTCATGTTATCTGGAACCCGACTTGCCTAGAAGAGCTGGATGGGAGCACATGCGGGCTCGCTGTGCGTCCAGAACTCCTAGGGTCCCGTGCTCCGGGCTTTGGGTGTCTCCTGTTGGCCTGTGTGCAAACAAGGAGAGGTTTGGAGTGCTTTCTAGGGTGCGGAGATGCGGCTCTGTGATTGTGCTGCTGGAGAACAGGAAATGAGGTAATGTCTTGTAAGGTCCTGTTGCACGAACCTAAATGCCTAAATATGGGCAGCTAGCCCTCACTGCAGTCGCGGAGCGGAGCTGCGGGATAATTGGTGCTTCCAGGAGGCCCCTCGGCCTGCCGGAGACGTCAGTGCGAGCCTGGGGAGGTTCCGTGTGAAGCTGAGCCGCTCCAGCCTTCAGCTCAGGCCCAGGAAGAGGTTGGAGCCCTTACCCAGCAACCAGCCGGCGAAGCTCGCTGCCGGGGCTGTTGTCAGAGCGAGAACTTGTTCTTTCGGGAAACTCTGAAATCACTTGATGAGGAGTTAAGTCCAGCCCATAAAAGTTTACATTGTTCGTACCTTTTTGCAGATGTGTACGTGCAATGTTCAGTTTTTCAGTGTGTCGCTATAACCATGAATATGTGGAGGATCAAAAGCAGTTGAACAGTAATTAAAAGAGAGATTTT